GAAAGAGTGGTTTATGGGATTTGTTGTTGTCCTTTGTTTTGTTTTTGGGTTAGGAAGCTGAGGCATCAAGCACAAGTGTGTCTCAAGAGAGGGTCATAGAGGATGCTGAGCAAGATGATTTCGAAGTTGATGACTGTCCCATAGAGCAAGTGAGGCTAACGGTTCCAATCACTGATGACCCTACTCAGCCTGCACTAACATTCCGGACATGGGTTCTGGGGTTGGCATCATGTGTGCTCCTTGCCTTTGTGAACCAATTTTTGGGCTACAGAACCAACCCTTTGAAAATATCTTCAGTTTCAGCACAGATCATTACCCTCCCACTTGGGAAACTCATGGCTGCTACTCTCCCCACTAGACCGATCCAAGTCCCGTTCACCAAATGGTCTTTTTCGATGAATCCGGGGCCATTCTCTTTGAAGGAACATGTGCTGATCACCATCTTTGCTACCTCTGGATCTAGTGGTGTTTATGCAATTAGCATCATCACAATTGTTAAGGCTTTCTATCATAGGAACATTCATCCAGTAGCGGCTTATTTGCTAGCACTTTCAACCCAAATGCTTGGGTATGGATGGGCTGGGATTTTTAGAAAATTCCTTGTTGACTCCCCTTATATGTGGTGGCCTGAAACCCTTGTGCAGGTGTCTCTATTCAGGGCATTTCATGAAAAAGAAAAAAGGCCTAAAGGAGGAAAAACTAGGCTGCAATTCTTTTTCCTAGTCTTTGTAGTGAGCTTTGCCTATTACACCGTTCCAGGGTACTTTTTCCAAGCAATATCTACTATCTCCTTTGTTTGCCTCATTTGGAAAAGTTCCATCACAGCTCAACAGATTGGTTCAGGCATGGAAGGCCTCGGCCTTGGCTCATTTGGCCTTGATTGGAACACTGTTGCAGGCTTCTTTGGCAGTCCTTTGGCTATACCTGGCTTTGCCATCATCAACATGTTGATTGGATTTGTGTTGGAAGTCTATGTCGTGATTCCCCTTGCCTATTGGAACAACTTATATGATGCCAAAAAGTTTCCTCTCATTAGTTCTCACACTTTTGACTCTACTGGTGCACCATATAATGTTACTCGGATTCTAAATCCCAAAACTTTTGAAATTGATCTGAATAGTTATAACAACTACAGCAAGATCTATCTTAGTGTCACGTTTGCATTCGAGTATGGACTCTGCTTTGCAACTCTGACTGCCACTATCTCACATGTTGTCCTCTTCCACGGAGAAATGATTCTTCAAATGTGGAGGAAGACAACAAGTGCACTAAAAGAACAACTAGGAGATGTCCATACAAGAATTATGAAGAAAAACTATGAACAAGTCCCTGAATGGTGGTTTGTGACCGTTTTGATTCTCATGGTTGTTATGGCCTTGGTTGCTTGTGAAGGCTTTGGCAAGCAACTCCAACTGCCATGGTGGGGAATTTTACTCTCTCTAGTAATTGCACTAGTCTTCACCTTGCCAGTTGGGGTGATTCAAGCTACAACAAACATACAAACAGGACTCAATGTGATTGCAGAGTTGATAATTGGATTCATTTACCCAGGAAAGCCCCTAGCAAATGTAGCCTTCAAGACTTATGGTCATGTCAGCATGGTCCAGGCACTTGGGTTTCTTGGTGACTTCAAATTAGGCCACTATATGAAAATTCCTCCTAAATCTATGTTCATAGTGCAGCTAGTAGGCACAGTTGTTGCTTCATCTGTCCACTTTGCCACAGCTTGGTGGCTTCTCACATCTATTGAGAACATTTGTGATGAAGCATTGTTGCCAAAGGGTAGTCCCTGGACATGCCCTGGTGATGATGTGTTCTATAATGCTTCAATCGTATGGGGAGTAGTAGGACCAAAGAGAATGTTCACCAAGGATGGTGTTTACCCTGCTATGAATTGGTTTTTCCTGATTGGTCTACTTGCACCTCTTCCAGTGTGGCTGCTTTCTCGTAAATTCCCCAACCACAAGTGGATTCAACTCATCAACATTCCCATTATCACTGAAGGTGCATCCAACATCCCACCAGCCAGATCTGTGAATTATATTACATGGGGAACTGTTGGAATCTTCTTCAATTTCTATGTTTATAGAAAGTTCAAGGCATGGTGGGCTAGACATACTTACATTCTTTCAGCTGCATTAGATGCTGGAGTTGCTTTCATGGGTGTTGCCCTCTATTTTGCCCTCCAATCTAATGGTATTTTTGGTCCAGCCTGGTGGGGTCTTGATGCAGACCACTGCCCTTTGGCCAAATGCCCCACAGCTTCAGGTGTATATGCCAAGGGATGCCCTCTTCTCTGATTTCCCATTTTTTTATTCTTACCTAGTATGTTTTTTTTTTAGCTCCTGAAAGTCAGATACTAGTCTCCCAAGATATGGGAATCCATTTAAAGTGCTAACATCTCTTATATGCTCTTCCATAGTTACGTACACATGCAAATATGGTATTGGACATTAAATGTACCCAAAGTCTAAATATTCACTTTCTGTCTCTGCTGACTGTAAATTATAATTGAATATTGAATAAGTTACAGGTGGAGAGTAGAGCAAGCAAAATTGTTTAAAGTTTAAACTAAGAATCTGTTTTACTTTGATCTCTTTGTATTTATTATTTAAGCTATAGTAGATCTTTCATTCTTCCATACCTTAATAGACAAGTTGAAACTTGAATTATTGATACTCCACTAACTTTAAGAGTTTTGGGATGAAAACAAATTTGTAGTGATTAGTTAGGATTACTACTCGATGTTATTATGTTGTTGTCCAATCCAACGTCAATGATACTTTGGGTTTCTACAGAAATTCGATACAGGATATTTTTCACTTTAACCATGTTGGCAACTATCTGATTTCGGTCGAGGAAGGATGAAATTAAGAATATGCAAAGAAAAAAATGCACATGAACCAATGATTAAAACTCAAAGAAAAGAAACATTGCTTATTAGCTTCTCAGTGCCATTCTCTCTCTTACTCAGAAAAGCAAGCATCTAAATCCGAGGTTGGAAATAACATTTTTGATGAAATCTGGTTATCAAGATAATGAGAGAAACCGCAATTCTAAAAGGAGAGGAGGGAGAATGCTATCATAATTTCAAAATATATATTGTGGCTCAAATTGTTGAGTTACAAACAAGTCTCACATTAATAAAATAAGAAAAAAATTAACAAATTATAAAAGCAAGCTGTTTTCTATTCTACATATAGTTCTTTTATTAAATATTTTACTTTTTTCGAATACTTGAGTTCAAATATTCATATATTTGATATTTCTTTACTGGCTTCATATAATTTAAAAAATATTAATTTTGATCAAATATTCTTCAGACAAATATCATAAAATAATTTCAACAGAAATTAATACATTATAGCAAGTTGTTTTCCATTGTACAGATAATTCTTCTATCAAATATTTTGCTTTTTTCGGATACTTGAGTTCAAATATTTATATATTTGATATTTTTTTACTGGCTTCATATAATTTAGAAAATACTAGTTTTGATGTTGATTTTTAAGTAAAATTTTGTTTTTATTTATTTGAGATTTTCAAAATTCAAGAAAACATTAATTACTATTTTATACTCTTATATCTAATCTTTTTTTTTTAGGTTCGTTCCTGGAGTATCCACCGTCGACAGCAGTGACTAATCTCCTCGCTACGTTGGAGGCACCTCAAAGGGTGGGATAGCTGGCCCCAAGATTTAACGCGGCTGCATACACAAGGCAGGATTCGAACCCCTGACCTTGCTTAAGCGTGGATCAACCCCTACCGCTGAACCACACGTGGACCGACACGTCAACTAATTTATACTATTACAGTAACAATCAATTATGGAAAAGAAAATAAAAGAGGATATAATAGAAAATGTACCGGAAGGGTCCTATCGGCCACATGGATCGACCACGTGGACCGACACGTCATGTCCTATCAGATATTGACGCAGCTTAGTTATCACTTCGGCTCGGCAAGGGACCGAGAACCGCATCCTTCCCCTATCGGCTCGGCCAGACGCCGAAGACGACGTCTCAGCCGTTCCGTATCGGCTCGGCTGAAGGTCAACAGAGACAGAATAATTAGAACGACGTTCATGATTAACGAGAGACAAAGCACAATTAAGACATAACCCGCCGATTAACATCGTATTACCTAATTTGGTAAGTGTCAGAAAAGGCTCACCATGCTCAGGCCCATGTCAAGTATTATAAATAGGTCACACGTAACGAGGTATGTCGGTGTTCAATTATTACCCTAGAGATTCGTGTTTGTCCTAACTTGAGCGTCAGAGTACCTTTTGCAGGTACCTCCCCCCTCTGAAGCATCCACCCGAAGCTCCTGTTCGGCCCTCTACCCACCTGAAAATTACGAGTGTGTCCTTAGACAGGTACAAAAAATATTAAAATTATTTTATTAATAAGAAATGGAGATAGTAAATCATTTGACTTTTCAATGTTCTATATTCCAAAATTTAATCCCAAAATGATATCCATGCACACATTTACTTTTTCAAAATATTAAGATATTTTTTATATATTAAGAAAATGTCTTCTGCATTTTCAAATTTGTCAATTAATGTCCTATATATCCAATATAATTACCCATGCTTAAAACAATTGAAAAGCCAAATTATCAACTCAAATTAAAGAGTGCGATTTTTTTATTATTAAGAAATTATTATGTTATCTCTTAATTGTGCAATACAATTATATATGTGAACCATTCCTATATTTTTATTTATTTTACTAATATGAAAGTTTAATTACCGAATTACTTTCAGACTTAGCGGAAAATTGTTTCTTCGGTTACTAAACAACTTTTAGATATTAAAGAATAATAGATTGAATAAATTTATCTTTTTTTATTTATTTATTACATATATTCATAGTGAAATGTTAGAAACACTTAATTATAAAACTTTAAACAATAATTTTGTAGTTGATAAAAAAATAAAATGAGATTTAATAAATTATATTGAATATAAATTTTACTTAAAAGTTTAGAGTTTCTTATGCAACTTGCAATGTATACAAAAGTGTAGATTAAAGATACTACTCATGTAATTAGGGGTGGTTATGAACTTTTTTTTTTCTTCAAGTAAAAAATAAGTAGTGTAGTACCTATTTAAATCTTAAATTTAATTCTCGTCATGTCTTTGTATCTTTTTTATGGATAAATTTTTTTATAGTATCTATTCAAACATTTCACTAATAATTAAACACAAGACTTACTTAAGAAATTTAAGTTCAATTACAATTTAATTAACGATATACTTTAATATAACATGCTTGGTTTAAATTAATTTTTGCAAAAATAATATTTTTGTTAGCTTTCTTGTTGACTTTAATTTTTATATTGATGTAAAAAGTTTTATAGCATTAGTTATAATAAATATGACTCGTAATAATTATTATAAAAATTAATAAATTTATTATACATCATATCTTTTTATTAGATATAATACTACAAGTCTTTAGCATGTAAGTATATGAACCATTTAGTCATTAAAAATGAATAATTATTTTATTAAAATAAAGTAGAGCAAGGGTATTTTAATTGTTAACTTTGTGGTGTTAAAATGATTTATTTTCATATTAATTATGATGGTATTTTTCAACTTTGTTTTTTCAACTGACAAAATATTTCATCCATTGCAATTGAGGAATATTTAACATATTATTTAACATTCATTTTATTACTAGTTAACTGAAAATTATAAAATTACCCTAAAATTCATTAATTAAAAAGCAACACTCAAAAAAATTTATGAAATAATTATAAAAAGAGTGTCTTTTGAAAAACACATAGTTGCTACTACAATCATATATTAGGCATGTTAACTCGCTCGTGTGCAGTGAGTGTATTTCATTCCGAAGCTAACTGCAGTTGGCGCAGCTCTGATCGATAGATAGCAGTGAGAATGGGGAGTAAGAAGAAGGCATCGCCTCTCTCATTGCAGCAATTCATCTCCATCACCGCTCCTCTTCTTGACTTGGAAAAGGTAACTCTCTCTCTCTCTCTCTCTCTCTCTCTCTCTTCTCAATTCAATTTACTAATTCTCTCATTTTGCCTTAGGATGCTGAGATTTCAAGCTCAATCGCCATCGGCGCCTCCAGGAACTTGGACACCGCTCAAAAGAGGGGTTCCACCATCCTCAACTTGAAGTGCGTCGATGTCCAGGTTGCCTCTTTTTTCATTTTTTTTATGCTCTTTTAATTCCTATTTTGTTTTGAACTAGCATGTAATCTGTTGCTTTCAAAATGGAGACATGCCTAAGGACAAAGATAAATGGATTTTTATTTATTTATCTTATTTCATTACTCTTGATAATCAAGGAAATGAAGCTAAGCTAGCCATGTTTACAGTTGATTTATCTTGTTTTCTGTGCATTTTAGTGGTAAGTGGAGTGGAGCTTTAATTCATATGTTGTGTTCATTTCTTTATTCTGAAAATAGACAGGGCTCATGGGGAAGTCTCTGATTGAGTTCCAGTCTACAAAAGGAGATGTTCTTCCTGCACACAAGGTAATAAAGGATTGCCTTTCTTTTGTCGTTTCACTATCCAATTGGTTATACTTATACTGGTTTACTCAAATTTATATTTGTGCCTTTTAGTATTGTATTATTGTATGAATGTGAGCCTACTTTTTATTATATTTTATGCATTTCTCCCTTCTCCTTTCTTTTGTTATTCAGTATAAGTACTTGACTCAAGTATTCTGAGATTGGTATGACAGCAAAAAGGTTGCCACAAAAACATCTTGTAGCACTGATAGGACCATTTTCTGTGTGTTCAATCCATATAGCATTGCTTTAAGGAGTCAACGAGGTTTTTTTTTTTTTTGCAGTTTAGTACTCATGATGTCGTCGTTTTAAAACTCAACAAGTCTGATTTAGGTTCTCCTGCTCTTGGTCAAGGTGTAGTTTACAGATTAAAGGTATGTGATTGATTCAATTTGTGAAAAAATAAAAAAGAAATTGTGCATGCCTTTGGCTACAGATGGTCCCACCTTTGGATATTACTTTGACTTACTGGTTTGATACAATTGCTTACAGGATTCGTCAATAACTGTTGCTTTTGATGATATACCAGAAGATGGTTTAAACAGTCCCCTAAGGCTGGAAAAAGTAGCAAATGAGGTATGCTGTTGTTGATAGGTTCATAAATAGGTCTTTGCTTATTTGCATAAATTAGTTAGTAGTTTGATTATAAATAATTCAATGACTACTGTGAGATTCCATGAATTTTGCTCAAGTATGATTCTAGATTTGCATAAAATACTGAAATGCAGTGAGGGGACCCTAATATGTAACATTTTCTCTCCCTTTTGATTAGTTAGCTACTTAGCTTATTGTTTTCTGTTGTGTAAACATAATATTAACGTGTTGCTTGGTTTTCCTATCTTTTTTTAATATCAATTTCTGGACCCTAGGTTCTTATGAGTTGCAAATATTTATTGCTCATGTAGGTGACATATCGCAGGATGAAAGATGCACTGATACAATTGAGTAAAGGAGTGCACAAGGGTCCTGCCTCTGATCTGATTCCTGTCTTGTTTGGGGAGAGGCCACCGACAGTGTCAAAGAAGGATGTATCCTTCTCTCCCTTTAATATCAATCTTGATCATTCCCAGGTATGTAACCTAATTTTTTTGCTCAGTCACTTTATTTGTTATTCTTTTATATTTTTTTTCCAATTTTTTCCCTACCTTTTGTAGTCTATTTCCATTCACTGTATCATTTCATTGAAGGTTTTTGTTCCTTTATAATTAGCACATAACATATTTATGTATTAGTTACACAGTTATTTCTATTGTTGTGCATCTTGTTTTTTATTGGTTTTATGTTATCAATTAATCTCACGTAGTGGGATAAGGCTTTTGTTGTTATTGATGTTATTTATGATATCAATTAACCAATGCAGAATATACCTGTTATTATAAGAGTGGTATTTCTACGTGAGAGTACTTCATCTTTTTAGCTTTGAACATCTTCCCCTTGCATTCACAAAATTATGTATTTCTGTTTTTATCTTCAAAGAAAGAAGCGGTTTCAAAAGCTCTATCATCAAAGAATGCATTCTTGCTGCATGGGCCTCCTGGAACGGGAAAAACTACAACAGTTGTAGAAATTATATTACAAGAAGTGAAACGTGGATCTAAGATTCTTGCTTGTGCTGCTTCAAATATTGCTGTTGATAACATTGTTGAGCGGCTAGTTCCACATAGGTATAATTATTTTATTATTGGCTTGGCCCTATAATAATTGACTGGTTTTACTTGGATTGGAGCATTGTGATTTCTGATAGTAGATTTTGGACTCAATTTGTGGTCTCAAGATAGAATATGAGATGAAAGCAGGATGAGAGCATGATAAGATAAAAACACTAAATTTTCATTGTATATCTGCTGTTTGATGTATAACATATAACAAACCAGATAGCATTGTCATGTGTTTGACATGGACTAGATAATGACGATATGTTATAACATAAAATATGTTCAAATAACTAAATTACCCTTTTGTTAAAATCATATAGAATATTGTTAGAAATGACTTTTAGTTTTTACAATTTATAAAAATTTATAGTATTAACTAAATTATAAAAAATTATGTAATTTGAAATTATATAATAAAATCACAAAAAAAAAGCAAACATGTAAATTTTTTATTTAAATATATTTATTAAATTTTATAAATTGTGAGATGAAGTATATATTTACTTCATTCAAACTTATTTGATGATATAATAAAAAATAATAAAATTAAAGCAAATAATTTTATTCTTTGATCAATGAAATTCAATCCACTCATGCTTCTACACTACAAATTCTATTAGAATGGAATAACTGTGTCTCCAAATTTCAGTGATTCTCTTCTAAGCAACATCTCGTCGTGTATTGGATGCTATTGCAGTCAGCTGATTCAACTTGTCAACACAGTTCTCAAGTGCATCCATTCAGTTGTTGGCTTGGCTAGTCTATTTTGGCCATGGTTAGAAAAATAAATGGATATTTCCAATCAATGAACATCTCTGATTAAATTTATGTTAAATCCCAAACAAAAGACCAAGACAATGAATAACAGATAAGAAAAGTTGCAGAGACGAGAGTAGAAATCTTAGATGTGATGAGATGCTGAGAAAGGAAATAAAGTGATTGATGAAGGAGAGATGAGACCCGGTAGAGATGGGGGCGTCTGCAAAAGTTAATGACAGGGATGGATGGGAGGACAGTCTGTTGGGGAAGATGAATGAGCCTGGTTCAAATAGTTATAAGGGTGAGATGGGAAAAAAATTCTTATCCATGCTGTAAATTTCTAACTAACTGGGGTCCTCCCATTGGATAAAAATTACATTGTTAAGTAGGATAGGATAAGCTCATAGGATAGGATTATTATATCATGTTGGCCTAACAAACATTATATTAAAATAGGATAGGATAAACTTATCCTAACCGCCAAACACACCCTTAACATCTGTCAACATAGATAACGAAGTCTGCTATTGTGGAACATTTGTCCACAGAATCAGTAATTCTATGAAGGAAAGAAATATGCTTTTTCCTCCTACAACATTCTCCCCCTTGATAAAGTACCAATGTCTTGTAAAGTTTATAATTTGGATACCTTTCTTTTAATGCTTCTGTTCTTATTTACTTTTTGTTGTTTTCCTCATTCTGTGAGATATGCTCTCTCCACTTGGTTTAGCTTCATCAGGTGTGTAAAATCACGTGTTGACACTTGATACTCATCATGATATCTGACATTTTCTGCTAGAGTTAAGCTGGTGAGACTCGGTCATCCTGCACGGTTATTGCCTCAAGTACTGGACAGTGCGCTGGATGCTCAGGTAACATTTGATATCTGTCTTAGTTATTTTTATCCCATTTTTATTACCATTCCAAAATAGCAATAGTAAAATGTCCAAATTTATGTCAGTGTTATATGCATATTCTCTAAAAAAGGCAAAGATGTCATCTCAAAAGAGCTCCACAATCTCTCTGGAGATCAGTGGTAGAAACCCCCCATTAAATACCGTTGGGCGTTGGCCAACTACCACATAATAACCAAGAAAAATACTCTGTCCCACACTAGATGAGAAGGAGGAAAAAATCTGGTTAAAAGTTCTGACGTTGTTCTATACACAAATGCCAAATTCCCTCCAACCAGAGCACAATGCCACAAAACATAACATTCCTTCAAAGCCCTTTAAAATGAGAAGAAAAAAGTTTACCAAAAGATTCTAGACAGATAAATTGCTTCCTCAAATTGATAAAGAGCCAATTTTACAACTACCAATCAATTTAAAATGCAATTTTTTTTTCTTTAAGAAAGATTCCCAACAAAGTGTCAGATATTCTGTTATCCTCACCTTGTGGTTTCTAGTTTTAATAATTAATGATGGATTAAGTTACATAGTATTCATTGGCATTCTTCAAATATGATTTTTTTTATATGTTCACCCTTTCGTATTGAATTTCTCTGATATTAGGTACTACGAGGAGATAATAGTGGTCTTGCAAATGACATTCGGAAAGAAATGAAGGTGATTTTTAGAACAAAAGATACAGATCTGAATCTTAATTTTCATTGTGATTTGATTACCATTTACCAACATTGTTAATTTCATCTAGCTGATGTTTCTGGGACTATTGCTTCAGATGTTAGCATTGATGTCAGCGTTAACATCATGTTAGCTTGATTAGATATATTAGAGGTGGGTATGTGGACTTGAGTTCACTGATGGTCCATTTTACCCGCAGACCATTTCAATGTGGATTTGTTTGGCACAGTTTGTTTAACCCATGGATTAAACTGGTTGGGTCTGTAGGTTAACGGCCAACTCATGGCCAATGACATTTTTAAAAATATTATTTAATGCTTTTAGTTTTATTGGTGTATTTGGATAATTACTACTGTGTTTGCCTCTTAGTATTTAAATATTTATAATTTCTTGATGTAAAAAGTTAGAGATATTGAGTTTTTTTTTTTTTTTTTTTTATGATTTATTTGATGTTTGAGCAAAGTGATGTAGAAGAAATTTTCCTTTAAATTTTATTTCATTAATCCATGCATATTTTCTTATGTTCTTCATTAATTTTATGTTAGACACTTTTCAATTTTTATCAATTTTTTAAAATAGTTTTTCAGGCATTTCAATCATTTTTTAATTTTTAATTTTTTTCTCAATTTTTTTTTAATTATTGGGCCACAGACTAGTTTATTAGTCCGCAGGCTAAGTGGGATAGATGCAAACTGTGCAAAAACATGGTCTATAACTCTATTTAATTAGAAGGCTAGCCCAGGCCCGTCCATTTAATCGTGGACAAAACGGATAAGGCTATAGATATAATTATGCAATATTACTTTTCACATGATATAGACTATTTTTTTCAGGCATTGAATGGAAAGCTTCTGAAAACCAAAGACAGAAATACGAGAAAGGACATACAAAGGGAACTTAGGACTCTATCCAAAGAAGAACGTAAAAGGCAGCAGCTTGCTGTAACAGATGTACTCAAGTGTGCAGATGTAATATTAACTACTTTGATTGGGGCTTTCTCTAAGAAACTAGACAGCACTTCATTTGATTTGGTGATTATTGATGAAGCAGCTCAAGCACTTGAGATAGCATGCTGGATACCTCTGCTGAAGGTAGTGTTAAAAAGAATATGCACTACGTTTGATGTTATTCATAATCATAACACTAATACATTAAGATTTCAGACTTCCTTTTATCTTCTGATTACATGCACATGTCTTGTTTTATGGCTGTTTGAACACTTTATATTACCAACAGTGTGTAGTAGTTGGGAGAGGAAGGGAAAATAGAGAAGTTACATTGTTAGGAACCCATAACAGGTATATTGAAAATACATGGTTGGTTTATTTAAGACAATAAAATCTCAGACACCAGAATTTGAAACCTAAAACTATTGCATCAAGTACTTCTACAAATCCTGAACTGATTTTTACTATGATGATGATAAGAAGAATAGTGTTTTCCAACAGCATCATCCATTTCTCCAAAATTTCTCTTCATATTGCCACCAGTGTGTAGTAGTTGGGAGAGGGAGGGAAAATAGAGAAGTTATATTATTAGAAACCCATAACAGATATATTGAAAATAAGACAAGGATGGTTTATTTAAGACAATAATACGCCAGAATTTGAAACCTAAAAATATTTTAAATTTTATTGCATTAAGTACTACCACTGATCCTGAACTGATTTTTACTATGATGATGATTAGAAAAATAGTGTTTTCCAACAGTATCATCCATTTCCCCAATAATGTCCTATAGTGTCCTGGATTCGATACAATAGGATGTATAAGAAAACTAACCAAATAACAAACTGAAATGAATTGAAAGTTTTATATGGGAAGTTGAATGCCAAAATGTGCTGTCCTTTACCAAATAGAAGTTGTTCTGGAATGGCAAAGCTAAAAGCTTGATATTTGATTCAGAATCAGAATTAAAACATGTAGCCTTCTAATTCTAATCATTACATGATGTCGTTTTGATTATAATGAATTAAATGAAGAGTTCATTGTTTTAGGGTTCAAGATGTATACTTGCAGGGGACCATCTTCAACTTCCTCCAACCATTCAAAGTGTTGAAGCTGAGAAGAAAGGCTTAGGAAGAACACTCTTTGAACGTCTTGCAGACATGTATGGAGACGAAATCACATCAATGCTTACTGTCCAGTACCGCATGCATGAACTTATCATGGATTGGTCTTCTAAAGAGCTTTACGACAGTAAGGTACTCGAAATTTTTGAAGCTTGTCTTGATATTGCATCACGGTGAAGCAATATTTTATATGCCACTACAAAGCATATTATATCAATCCTGAACTGAAAAATTATATTATGTTGGAGAGGGGGGTGTAAACATGTAATTCGATCATTATGCCTTGCACATTATGTGATCACAGATCAAGGCTCATCCAAGTGTTGCTGCACATATGTTATATGATCTTGAGGGTGTGAAGCGGACAACTTCATCTGAACCAACCCTTCTTCTCATAGACACAGCTGGGTATGTTGGATTATGTCCTTGTTGAAAATTTTATCTTAGAACTGCTTGATTAGGAGGGACATGTGGATTGCATGACATTCTCTTCCTAATAAAAATTTATGTACCATCATTTTGTTTATAATGATTTGGTGTTTTGATTAGTCTATATTCAGTAATTGGGATACTGGTTTCTTCTGTCTCATCAAGAATTTAACCTATGACCTAACTGGTATAACGAAGCTCAAGAGAAAGAAGTCATTATATTTCATACGAAGCAAATATAGTTTGTTTGATATCCGTAGGAGTTTGTTTTCAAACAGAATGTAATCAAACTGCCTATATTGGTGAAATTCAGATGTGATATGGAAGAAAAGAAAGATGAAGAAGATAGCACCTTTAATGAAGGCGAAGCTGAGGTTACCGTGGCTCATGCAAAGAGACTAGTGCAGAGTGGGGTGCTTCCTTCTGATATTGGAATTATTACCCCATATGCTGCCCAGGTATGAAATTGTTCCTTGTGAACCTTCAATAAATGTTCTGCGGGCACAGGCTTCATATTCTAGTAGTTTTGACAATATGGTAGATGTTTTACCTAACTCCTGGCAACTGGTACGGCAGGTTGTTTTGCTCAAGATGTTGAAAAACAAGGAGGACCGGCTGAAGGATGTTGAAATCTCAACAGTTGATGGTTTCCAGGGAAGGGAGAAGGAAGCCATTATTATATCAATGGTTCGATCAAATTCAAAAAAAGAGGTATTTCTAACAAGCCTGCTAGATTTATTTGGTTCATATAGGTCTTTCTTAGCAGATTTTGGTAGCATGCTGTGAAAGAATAAGAGAGACTTGGAATATATGTTTCAGGTTGGCTTTCTGAGTGATCGCCGGCGAATGAATGTGGCTGTGACACGGTCTAGAAGGCAATGCTGTCTTGTCTGTGACACAGAGACAGTCAGTGGTGATGGATTTCTGAAGCGATTGATTGAGTATTTTGAGGAGCATGGCGAGTATCTGAGTGCATCTGAGTACCAGAATGAGTAGGCCAGACTCCCAAGGTTAAGATTTCTACTGTTACACTCATGTGATCAATTTATTGATTTTGTTGATGTTGTTAGTAGATATGTGAAGGTTTCTCAAATCTTTCCTAAGCTATTTGGAATGGAAAGAATGACAGTTTATGTAGAAGAAAAAATTTATTGGTATTTATTGAAACTCGAAAGTGATATCGTCATGAATAATATCCTTAATAATTTGGTTTTTCACTGAACCTAATAGTGTTTAACCAACTTTACCAAGTAGGATAAGATTAATAAAAGCTGGCCAATGTGTATGTTGTGTGAAGATGGGAGGAAAAAGATGTTACTATTTTTGGATGAGTTTAATATACATAGGTTAAAATACTTTTATTAGTCATATAATGACGGGATAAAATAATATAAAATGTTTTTTTTAATCTATTTTTCATATACTCATAAAGTTAACGTTTGTATGCAGTGGACCTTTTCAGCAACATAGACAATTAAGTAACAATTTTCTGGTGATAAAAGGCAAATTAGCATTAGTCTCCGTACGCCATTATACCATTTTTTTTATATAAAATATATATATAAAGAGGTATAAATCTTACATTCCATCGCGATTTCATCTTGAAGTCAAAAATTGAGTCATGATTATTAATTAAGGAATATAAATGTGAAATCAATTAAATTAATGATTTTTAGTATTATACACTAGTTTTGAATTTTGATATATAGTCTTCATTTATTTTAGGATTTTAGATGTATGATTTAAGATTTAGTTTTTATTACTAATCCATCTAGTAAAGTGGTAGATATGATATGTTGTTCATTTGGATTGACTCATGATAAGTCATCATATTTTTGGGTCAGACTAATTTAATTGGGTAAATGATATGTATACCTCTTAAAAAGTCTTTCTTCTCATTTTTTTTCAAAAAAAAATCTTAAATATATCCTTAAAGGTGAAATTCAAATACAAACCATTTTCATGTATATGTAAATGCCTTGTCACTAAAGCAAATAATTTCTTTTTAAGTCTTTTTACTCCATTTTAATTATTCCTTTTATTTTATAAGTTTGCAAATTTTTTAGAGGTCGCCCATGTTTCCAAATTACATCTGCGCGTTGATTTTTCAAGGTACTGTCAATCACAATCAATTTGTATTATTAACGAAAAGTAGTTTCTTGAATCATGAGTTTTGTTTGTTAAAACATATTTTTGAAAAATACTTTTTCAAAATAGTATATATATCTTTTGAGGTGCCTTCAACATAGTGAGGAGATTAGTCATTGTTATCGGCGGTGGATATTTCAGGAACAAACTAAAAAAAAATTTAGAGATGAAGATCATTAGACCAGTATGTTTAAAATTTAAGTGTTTGATAGAAAAATGATTTTAAAAAAAGTAATTTTTTTAAGCAGATAAGATTTGCTTCTTAAAAAATTAGAAATCGAATTATTTTTATTTTAAAAAACAATTTAAAAAGCAGAAAACTATCTTGTATATTGAAAAACCAAATTAAAAAACGGACCCACCGTTAAGAAGAAATGAATTAAGGTGAGTTAATGGAAGAGGATATGTAGAGTGAAAAGAGGTGAATGTCAAAAGAAACGTGATTTGAAAGTTTATAAAAATTTTCAACTAAAAATAAAATATATTAGTATTTGTCAAAAAAAAATATTATAAAGCCTTTAATTGTGAGTCAACCCGTAGAGGTTGAGTCAAACAAGCTATAGCTGACCCATGATAGACCATCACATTTTTGGGCATTTAACTGTGGGCTAGATGTTTTTTACTTTAACTTAACGTATGAACTGTGGCCCAAACAAGCTGGCCAACGGGTCCGTAACTTTTTTTTCTTTTGAAAATCACTTAGTCCTTAACAACACTGATGATATAATTTTAGTTTTTAGTTATGTATATTACTTATGTAAAATAATCAATTTTAATACGTTATACTATTTTAATAATGAATGATAACATTATCATACTTTTAAATCAATGCATTAATATAATTATTTAATTTAATAAGTAATACATTCACAAGTACCAAGTTGAAGTTCATTAAAATTAAAAACACATAAGAGCTCAGTATAATAAAAAGAAATTTAGAAATTCATAACAACATAACACGAGCTCATGATATCACCAAAAAAAAAAAAGGAACAAATGTAAGGAGCACATATTTTTTTTCTTCAAATTTTGGATAAGGGGGTTGGCCTAGCCTACCATGGGCTAGTTATTGGATTGTTCCATTTGAACAGTAGGTCTATCTGGCCTTAACAAAGCAAAAGGCGGAGTTAACAGAAGAAAGCTAGAAGTTAACAATTCCCTAAAGTGCTAATAGTAAGTCAAGTTACATTACTACTTCCAGACTCAGTCTTTTCTCCATTTTCTGTCATCACAACCACTGAACTGAAATAAGCTCCTTTCTCACTACTAGTCTTCTATTCTAGCTAGCTACTAACTTTCCTATTCTTACATTGCTGCCAACAGATTCGATTTCTGCAGACATAAACAACAGGACTAGTGTAGTTGGAGAACCAAAACCTTCTGATCTATTGCATAGGCTGATATGCTAAGTACCCATATCTAACCAAATTCTCTCTTTTCTTTAAAAACCAAGTTTCTTAAAAGTTCCAAATGGATGTTGAGAAAGTAAGGTCATCATTTGGGTCATATGCTTCAAACTGTGTGGCTTCTGATTCCTGATGAATACCTGCAATTCCATGCATCTCAATCAATGCCTCCCAGTTAACACAATTGTCAGAAAACACTTCTAATTGATGAGCATTGTCATCTCTCAACACAGCTTCAGGCACTGTGGAACTTACTGAGCTATCAGTTCTTCCAAACTCTCTTTCTTCTCTCAGTATTCCCAGCTGTTGAAGAAACTCATGGAGGTCTATCTGAGGTTTCTCTTTCTCCTGAAGATCTCCAAGCAACTCCTCTGATGATGTTTGAGCATCTTTTAGAGGGTCTTCTCCATCATTTTTGCTGTTTACATTCTGAGTTTCTGCCTTTGGTTCATTTGATGAACTTGATGGGGATTGATTCACAACTGAATTTCGCTTAAGCTCTTGCAGCTTCTGGTGGATTAAATGAACACTAGGTTGAGCATTCACGTTGAGCAATCCATAGGAAGGAAACATTGAAATGAAGTTCTTGGAAGGAATCCATTTGAACTTTCCTGATGGTGAAGTGGAAGTGGGTTGCATGTGGGGGAGATTAAGGTATGCGTCTGGTCCATAGAGTCTCCTTGCAGCCTCATCATAAGCCATGGCAGCTTCTTCAGCTGTGGCAAAAGAACCAAGCCAGAGTCTGGTTCTCTTCTTTGGCTCTCTTATCTCAGCGACCCATTTGCCCCATGTTCTCTGCCGAACACCTCGGTACTGGCATGAGGCATTCTGGGGGCCACCTTTCCCTCTGGTTGGACCTTTCTTCCATGGCTTCAATGACTTCTTGCAAGTATCCATGATTTATATTGGGATGGTTGAACTTGAACAAGTTAAGGTGATTTAAGAAAGTGAATTGAGAAATACAAGGTGGTAGTGGAGGAGTATCACTACTTGGTGATACTTGGAACTGCATGTAAGGCGCGGGATATGTAGGAGCAAGGAGTGTAGGTTGGTATAAATGTTTTCACGTTTGGAGAAATGGCAAAGCCCATGTGACCGTTATTCACTGTGTGCTCAGTGATTGTTTTGGAGAAAAATGCTAATTACGCTCATTTTAACCCTTTTTTACTAATATTTTCTTTATTATTACGGTTGGAATTCAAGTGTGAAACGAAGTCTCACACTAGTTAGAGTGAGGCATGTTAAGTAATATATAAGTGAGAATGATTCACCTACTTAATGTATTAAGGTTTTAAGATATGTTGTGATGTCAAATGCTCACTTGTATGACTTACTCACTATTTATTATGTGAAGTGTTTCCCGATGTTAAAAACTCTCCAATATTAGTATTAGAGCTGATGGTTCGACCAAATGGATCCAAGATCAAGCGCTCAGTTGTGTGACTTACTTACTACCCATTATGTGGATTGTCCCCGGTGTTAACGAATTTTACAACTAAATTAAGAGATGAATTCATTAAATCAGATGCTCGTAAATATAACCTAATGATAAAGAGTGTTAGAGCAAAAATATCATAGAGACGGTGGTTTACATTCTTGTTGTTTCAAATCCCGTTTTTCTATTTTTTTTCTATCATGCTAAAAATATTTTGGGTTTTTATTGCTTTTGTTTGTTGCAGCCTTGGCACTGCCAGCACGGGTTGATATTTATAGGCATGCATGGTGATGATGGTCTTAACACATGGTAGTAATTATAGTTGTTTATCACCCAAACAAGACAGCTTTTTGTTCTTTTAGAAAACGAAAAGATTTATCAAACTGCACAAGGGGATACTAAAGTCAGAGGTCTTTTGCTTAATGCATTACCTCTATGATTCAATGGAGGGTGATGATCATCTTGATAAACCATGCAAGATAAAGTTGATAGTCCATTAATCCTCTACTTTGAGTGAATGTAATGTCCATTTGATGATTCTTGATAGTCCTTGCAGGATAATTTAATGCCATACTTAATAAGCTCTTCAACGTTGTCTTTCATTGATTGGCCATTTAATTTTACATATCTTTTTTTTTTCAGCTCACGGGTTAAACTTTATCTGGAACTAGCTAGCTAGGTGGAGCATGGCTACGCCTACAATGATCCATTGAGTACTGCTTATTGCATAATTAAGACAAAGTCACAAATATATAAGAATATGCTTATTTTTAGTATAATGATTAATGCAAATCTCTGAAGCTTAATTGGCCCATGATTCTGAATTTAATGTTAAGCGTGATCAAGTTTAAGAGGATTTAGAGTTATAGCAGTATCCCTCGACGTTGACATTGCCTTTGGCAGGAGAATGTCCTTGAATTATAAAATGACAATTCTATTGCGTCCAAGGGTTTTGGTACCTCCGTACCTACCCAGTTGTCATGATTGTTACACAACAAAGCTCCAATTTGGCACCTTATTTTGTATATTTACATATATAGAGATACGGATACAAGAGACGGAGAGAGAAAAAAAGGGGTAGTGATTAGTGAATGTAGTTGAGGTGGACTAGAATATTTGCAAGACTTTTTCCAAGTCATATACAGTGATTGTCTTGAATGAACTCTGACCGCATCCTTGGATTCTCCATTTCTATACAATAGGTTGAACTTGTCCTTGTGGAGAAAGATTTTAAATAAGATCCACCTCAACATTTTCCAATTCACCAACTATATTTCACATGTTCTCCTGCCATACACGGCCTGATTCTCGAGACTCAGGTCACCTTTATCCCATGCTATTGTTTGCTCTCTTATGTGCATGCCATCGTGAATTACCACTCATGTGCCACAGAATGTGCATGCCATACCGAATGATAATATGGTGATGAGTGATGACCATACGGGTTAGTTAATCAGAAATATTCATGTGAATGATAAATGATAATGCTTATATGCTTGGAAGATAACGTTATAACATGGTTATCCTTATGGCAAAGAGATCAACCGGCAATAATTGAGTGGAGAAAAGAAAGAGAGGTGTGACCAGAATATAAGCTTACAATGGTGACGAAATATCTTAATCAAGTAATATTTGATCAGCAATCTTACAAAAGCAACCACACCTACATATTGTACTGATTATTTGAATATTAAGTAGGACATCACTGCAGGAAAGAATGTGTTTATAGATGACCTCTGACATTGATTATTAAGTAATGTGAGACTTTTAAATATATTAAAACAAATCGATCCGGGACAAAAGTCCTAAACCTTCCTTTTTAGTGCTAATGTTCCAACCGTCACAATTTTGTCTTTTGACGTCTTCATAAATTAAAGGAAGAGGATTTTTATAAGCGATCATTAGTCTTATTCCTAAGCGATGGAATTTTAGGCATAGTGAAACAAAATATTCTTACTAAAATCCACAAGTACTCTATTGGACTCAGTGTAAGTCTCTGGTCCTTAGTATTAACGATGGAGGCACCTATAAAAGAGACTTCAACACTCAAGTGAGAAGCGGTCTCACAAGTAAAGAATGAATAAATTGGGTTATAAGTGATACCTAAGCTTCTTTATATAGGTGATCAAGTTTATCCATAAGTGAGAATATCTCTTTAATGATTATATGTAAACAAATGTATCTTCTTTTAACAACTAGGATAAGAAAAAATGGTTACTTGATAACCATTAAGTATTTAAAGCAGTTAACATGATTCGATTTTGAGATAATAGGGGGTGATATCATATAACTACTAATTTTGGGGAATATGTGGTAATTGCCTCATGGGCCTGGTGACCTCAACCCAACTAATATGTTTGGGTGATTTAGATGTGAGTCACTCGGTCTAATCAAGCTCGGTAGTGTTAATCAAGATCAAGTTGAAGCTCGAGAATTTTGATGATTACAAATGCGTATAAATATGTATAATGTATATAATGAGTCTTTTTACAAAGAGTGCAACTTGAATTATTTGTTTTGCTTCTTTGCATGTTTAAGTCTTGTGCTTAGCGTTAAATTAATAGACTATCTTATAATCTTTGTATTAGTTGATGATTGATCATGAATAAGATTTACAATCGATTTGAAACAAATTGAAATGAAAAAAATTCAAAGTTGTTTTCCTAGTTATTTTTTAAATAACAAATCAAATGCAAGAAACTAAGGGAGTGTTTGGTAGGGAGGAAATTTTTTCATACCTGCAAATTACAAATCCTAAGAATCACGATTTCTAGGAATGATTAAAATTTGTTTGGTTATTATAAAGATTCTTAGAAATATTTATAAAGATTTCTTGAGAAATAAAGATTTTTATGTACGTGTAGTTATAATATTACTTTCCTATATATATAAACATTGTTTTTATAAAAATATCCCTTACAAAAAAAAATGAGTCTTTTTCTTTCTTGTAGGATGTAATTGTGTCATAATCTAACATAGAAAATATCTTATTTAGCTTAAAATAACAAATCAACAATTTACATATGATTAAAATATACATAAAAAGCATAGTAAATCAAAGTGAAAAATATATTTTTCCTAATTTATCATAATAAAAGAAAAATTAAAATATAAGTAAATAATGAAACAATAAAAAAAACATATATAACATTATTTTACTTAAATAATTTGTTAAATTTAGAAACTAAAAATTATAATAAAAAATTAGCAACACAATTTTATAGTTTTTAAATTTTAAATAATTATAAAGATATCATATTTTATGAAATTATATAATTATTTGATTTTTATTATTAGATTAATGAAAAAAGTGTTATAAAAAAACAAATAACAATTCTTACCTAATAACAATCAAATATTTTGTAATAAAAAATACAGTAAAATGTTAAAATTTTATACACAAAACATATAGCATGTACATTTTTTGTTAATAATTGTTGATTTTACCTAAGTGTATGTTGTGGTGGTTTGTTGTTTACTATTGAAAAACTTTGAGAATATTTTTATGAGTTTTAGGCGATTAGGAATTTCTTTGGACAAAAGTCCAATTTGACTTGGAGGGAAAGGTATATAAAGTTTCTTTTAAAATTTGAGTTTCGTAAATTCATTTCTTAAAGAAAATCTAGAAAGAGAAATTCTAGGGTTCTAAGATTTCTTATTCCTTTTCTTAGCCTCCTAGAGTTGTAGAAGATCATAGTTGATCAGTCAGTTGGTGATTCACAACATGTGGAGCTAGGAATCTAAGTTGGTGTGGAACTTTCAGTATTAATTTAGAGTCATTATTCTTCGCCCTTCTTCCTTAGTTTAGGAATCAAGTTTGTCACTTCTAAATCTAATGGCCAAAAAAAGGGGGAGTCAAGGGGATTTGTTCCTTTCAATCCCCACCACATACTCGTTTTATATGTCAGTTTTCCTAGCAAGAAAACAATTATTTTTATAATTTAAAAATAATAAATTAAAATAAACATTCTTAATATTATAAAAAAAATATTCATTATATTATATATTATATATTTATATCGTTTTGAGATGAGATAAAACTATACTTTATAGTTTATATTATTTTAAAATATGATTTTTGAAATAATTGAATTTATAACAATATTAATTTAATGGATTAATCATATTTGATTAAGTTACACTTTTAGTTTCCTAAAATTTCAAATTCGTAATTTTGATCTCCTAATTTTTAATTTCAAAATTTTAATCCTTGAACTTTATAAAGTCTATAATTTTTAGTTATTGTATATTCATCGATTGATCATTAAAATTTAAACGTTTATCATAATCTAACATTAAATAGATGATAAAAATAATTAATATTTAAAATATTTAGATTAAATTGCATGTTTAATTATCATTTTTGTCTCATTTTCATTCCATTTTATCATTGTTATGATATAAAAATTGAAACTAAAAGTATAATTTAATCTAAATATTATTTATTGCTTCATCTACTTAATATTAGATCATGACTAACGTTATAATATAAACAATCAACTGATGAATATTTAGTAAGGTGACCAAAATTGCATATACGATATTATTGAGATACCAAAACTATAATTTAGCTAATATATTTTGAGTTAATCATCTATATACTGTCAGTGTAAAGTTTTTTATACTGGAAACCAATCATATCTTTTAAAGTTGTTTATTTTATTATTATTTCATTAAATAAGCAACTGATATGGTACTATTATATGATTGGTTGTCGGTATAAAAAAACTTTATACCAGCAGTGTATAACTAATTAACTCATATATTTTTAGTCTCTAAACTTTTGTCAATTTTTATTTTTAGTCTTTGAACAATCTAGTTTTAGTCTCCAAATTTTTTCTCCATAAACAACAAATCTTAACATCAGGAACCAAAAATGTAAACAAAATCAAAAGTTCATGGAATAAAAATGAAAATTAGCAAAAGTTTCAAGACTAAAATAAGTTTAAAAAAATTACTTTAGAACTAAAAGTAAAAATCAATAAAAGTTCAAGGGATAAAAATATACGTAATCCTAATTTAATTTTCATATATTGTCATTATTACTCATTACATAATTTACATTTGACTTAGTACCCCTTCCATCTTATAATAAGTGTCGCATTGAAAAAAAAAATTATAAAATAAATGTTATATTAACTTTTCAATGTAATATTAATTAAATATAGTATTAATTACCTTTTCTTATACCCCTAATAATATTATGTAGAAAATGATTTTTGTGTTATATTATCTCTAGAAAAAAAACATTAATCGTAATGTTGATTTCTTAAAATTACTATCTTTTTTTATCTATTTATTAACTTTTCTTGACTTGTATAAACTGACAATATTTATTATAAAACGAAGGAAGGAGTAAATTTGAATAATTTGTACTGAATTTTAAATTATAATCTTATTGTTAGCATTGTACACAAAATATTATTATCATTGTTAAAAACATTATTATTGCCTAATAATTATAAATCAAATTTAATATAATTTTTAAATTAATAAGTATTATAAAAGTTAATGATCAATCTATTATTGTTAAAGAAGAATGTGAATACTTTTATAGTATTTTTTTAATTAGATTTTAATAAAAATATTGAAAACATATTGTAACTTTTATGCAAAATAATTATTGCAACATGCATAATTAAACTTGTTATATTATTTATCAATAAGTTATTGATTTGAATGAAACTAAATTTAAATTTTTTAAATAAAATTTTGAATTTGAATCCCATAAATGAAAAAAGGTGATTATGAGATAAGATATTAATAAAAATAATTAGTTAAATTTTTTTTATAAAAAATTAGTTATAAAAAAGTCTGTAGATGGTTAATAACATGATAAGAAAAGACTTGTTATATTATTTTAATTTTGAAAAATGTCAATATTTGTTTTACTTGTTAAATTTGTTTTATTTTAAATTATTGATAACTATCCGTAAAAATTGTATAACAAGCGTTCAAAAGAAAGATGTTTAACAAGTTTACGTTTCCATATAATATTGGGAGACGAGGGGAATATTGCCACATGCTACCCGTTGTCATCAACAATAATGTTACTCCATCGGCAATATTAAAGTAGCTCTAATTAAGATATGGCCTTACGAGGATGTCCCATATGCCACATCTTCCCTTTCCGATCACCAAATTTTGTATTTATGGCACTTGGACACTAGCAACCCTAATTAGGAAATGATTTAAAGTGACTAAAGATAAAATAATAATTTCTTCGTGATAAAGTCAATGTTTCATTATAAAAATGTCAGATCCATTATCCAAAGTCCTGTCAACATGTACTACTTGTATTTGCTACGCAATTCTATGGTTTTCACCCTGTTTGTTGAAATAACGTTAAGTACCAATTAACGGTCATCCATGATTTAGAATTTAATGGTAAGTACAAGCTAATGGAGTGTATTTTGTTTTTTAGGATCGTATTAATACAGAATATTTATCGTCAATTAACATATACAAAACAAATATTTTCTTTATCTTCTTTGTGTAATTTATTTTATATTCAAAAAAATTAAATTGTTGATATATTTTGATTAAGAAATATAAACTGATATTACTTATATCAACTGATATCGATAATGAAGTGATATTTAATATATTATTTAAACAATGATTGCAAAAAATAATTTAAATTTATAGAATTAATATCGGTTAAAATTAAATTATACTTAATTATTGAATTTTAAAATAAATGTGATTTTATTTTGATACGATGAAAAGTAAACGCAGAAAAAATGGAAAGAGTTTGTGGCCCTTGAACGTGCGACACGCAGCCATGTATCTGCCGACGACCAACAACCACAAATTATACAAAATTTTACATACAAATAAAATAAAAGAGGAGAGAAAATAAAAAAGTAATAAGATAAATCGCACAGCACGTCTAATATTATACAGTGGATTTCTTGCAGTTGATTTTTCAATTGAACCAAATCTGCATCTTAATTACCTTCATATATTTTATAATAAACAAAAAATGATAAAAATCATTTATCTTGTTGGATCATGAATCATGACTACAACTTTAGAATTACAACCACGGAATCCTGGTCCTATAACTTTTCATCTGTTGACTTAAAATTAATTTTAAAAAGATATGAATTATGATTGATTGAATAGTTATAAGATGGAAAATAGAATTGGATCCTCTTATGGATGAAGGTTATTGATGGATGAATGAATGATGTGAGGAGAAACAGTTAGAGATGGTAAAGTATAAAAATGATATTAGGATTGAAAGAGAGAAAGAGGATCTACCAACCAGGTTAGGTGGATGATGATGGAGTTGAAGATGCGGGAGATAGGGAGTCTGATGCGGAGAAAAGCGGGGAGAGAGAAGGAGGAGGAATCTTGTAGGAAGGTCTGGATGGTGTGAACCAACAGATTCAAGCTTCGTATGGGCGGAATGTAGAGAGTGAGAGGCACAGCGGAGAAGGCCACAGCGAACACTAGTTCCAGCATTCTTCTTTTTTTGGATATACTTCACAACTCAGATCTATTTACTATTTATATTCAAACAATGCTCCCATGCCTTCGTCTTCTCAGTTGTCACCAACCCAAGAAAATACTTCTCAATTCTTTTTTGACATACCTAAATAAAATAAGTTAAAATTTAATTCATTTCATAAAATTTATTTATAAAATAAATTTTCTTATACATATACAAAATTATAATCTCATATATAATTGACGTAAAGATTATTCGAAAGTAGTAATGTCATTAAGTGGTATTTCATCATTTAGTATTCCAACTCATGGATAAGCTTTTATATACTTTTTCAGACATCATTTTGGATATAGACAAATGATCTACTTTATTGGAAAATGTTTTTCTTTTCTTTTTTTTTTTCATTTTTCTTTCACTTTTTTTCCCTAATGATCTTTATTTTCGTATTGTTGGTAACAGATTTCATTTGTCTTCTCTCTTTTAATTATTTCACATTTGTCTAATCAAATATCTTTTCCTTATGTGAAAAAAAGAAAAAAAAAATCTCTTCCTTTAATCCCTTCGTATTCCTTTCCTCTTCTTTTACAATTTTAAAAATTCATTTTCGGTATGGAAATCATTGTGTTCAAAATAATAATTTCTCGAACAATTAACAAAACTCAAAAAAGTTAATTTGATGACAGATTTAAGTTTCGAAAATTAATTTTCTAAAAGAATAAAAAAAAGGCCTAAATATTTTTAGTTCCTTAATAAGTAAATTTGTTTATCATCTCTTGAATTTAAAATCAATATTTTAGTCTTATAATTTGTAAAAAAAATATAATAACTTACTTTTGTCTCTTTACTCAAATGTTGGTCAATCTATAAAAAAAATAATCTCTTATTATTGAATTTGTTAAAAGAAAATTTATCTATTAATATCATCATTAATAAAAATATCATATTAAATCCAATTAATGTTACACAATTCTCTCAATCTATCATTTTTTAATGATTATTGGTAGTCCATGAACTAAAACAAACTTCCTTCAAATTACATTAACTAAAAAGATTAAATTTAAATTTTAGGAACTAAAAAAATTTATCTTAAATTTAAAATTCTAAAAATATATTTAAACAAATAAAAAAATACTTGAACGTGAAATCTCAAAATAGAAAATCTAGAATTTGATTGAATAATTCTCAAAATGATACCATTGCAACGTAGAGTTGCAAAAGAATAAGATTATGTAGAATTTTGTTACCTTTAACAGGGAGAAGAGAAAACAAAAATAAAATAAAATAAGTGAGAAATGTTTACAAAACAGTAAAGATGGAGGGTGTGGAATGTAATTATATGATTTTTATATAGAAAGATATTTTAGGTAATAAAAAAAATAGGTAAAGTTTTTTTTTTCCGATTAGGACTTTATAAAAAATTAAACTTCATTGAGAAATTATCTTTAATAAAATTTTACTTCTTAATTACGTTTTTTCTATTCACTATACTTAATCAAAATCTAATGTTGAATTGAACTCAAATCAACTACTCATTGATATAGGTAGAGTAGTTGAGGTGTACGTTTAGCGATTTCCTTATGTGACCAACACTATTCCTGAAAATAAGAGCACAGAAGATATTTTGATATTTTAAAAAGCGTTAATAATATAATCTCCATCTAAGAATATGTTGGTCTTTCAATTATGTTCTTTATTTTTAATGCATAATTAGTATTTTAGTTTATGTAAGTACAGGAAAAAAAAATTATTTTTATAAAAAGTTGTAGTAAATAAATACTTTTTGTATAAATAAATGTATTCAATTAAAATTTATAATAAATAAATATTTTTTACCATATAATTTATATTTTAAATTTATTATAAATAATTTATATTGTAAAATAAAACTACCTCTAACTATTGATATTTTAAAAATATTAAAATTTAATTTTAAAAAATCAAAATAATAAATTAAAAGATATAATTAATATTAATTTGTATAAAGAGAGGATAGATTATTAATATTGATTTAATAATTCATAAAATTATTGATAATGTAAATCAATATTTTAACATTAACTTAAACGATGGAAGAGATGAAAAGGTGTAAAAAAAGAGTGACAGTAAAACTATATTTTCATTGAGGGACTAAACGTGAAAGGATTTAAAAATGGTAAAATATATTTATAAATTATATTAAATTTAACCGAGAACTAAAAATATGTGTATAATGTTATAATAAATTGTCTTTCTTTAGCAACCTTATGAAAAGATTAAAGTGTTGAACGTTTATTTTATTTTATTTTATTGAAGTAGTGATGAAAGTTTATAATTGTAAAGAATTTGATACTCTTTTTTGGGGGAGTTAAATGTTTCTAGCATTCATAATAAGAATTAATTTGGACATTTACCCTCTCTCTAGATCTTTTTTTTATCCGAATCGAAATTGGTACGTTTAGGCTTTATGCGACTCATTAAATTATTAGAAATTATCTTATATATGTCAACACTTATTATAAAATTTATTTAATAACAAAATATATGTAATTAGTATTCTCATTAAGGATGTATTTGTTTTAAATTTTAAAAAACATTTTAACTACATGATAAAAGGTGGCTTTGGATCCACATGTGATGCATTTTACCTGAAACATTTTCCGCCTATTTTCGTCAACATTCTCATTTAGACTTTTTTTTTTATATTAGTGGGTTTACTTTGTAGTGTCCCACAATTTATATATTTCAAATTTTTGAAAAGTCATTGAAATTTAAATTCTGTATCTATATGTATAAAAAAAAAACTGTATTATTATCTCTTATAATCATTAAATAATTGAATTTACATAGTATTTACCTTAATTACTTGGCAATTTAGTATAGTGAGTTGTAACTGAAAAACACTCAACTCAAGAACCAACCCTGTGTTTACCACATGTTCAATCCGGGGGAACCACAAGCTAAGTGTGTCGCGTCAAATTTAACTCACAATTCAAATGAATCAGTTTCAAGACATGAACCATAACCCGTAGGTCATATCGAAAACCCTAAATTATAGACTGGCTTATAAGTTATTATAATACATTAAAAAAAATGCAACATGTGCAAGAACATGGATCAACATACTAGTTATTTCTGAAGAAAAAAAAAACAGAATCAACAATCCCATAATATTTGTAATGACTATAGAAAAATATTTTTCTAGTGCTTTATTTATTATATTATCTATAAATCTTTATATTTTTAAACAAATTTCAATATTTTAAAAACTAAAGTCTTTGTAAATTTAAAATATATTTGTTCAACAAGTCAATCTACCAATGAGAACAAATTAAACCTTAATTGCCAATTTTAAAATATTACTTAAACTAAGTCTATGACAACAAAAAAAAAAATTTAACACCATCAAAACGGAGAAATACCAAATGAGGACTTTTATTTTATTAATGAATATGGACCATTAAATCTGATCATAATAATTAAGATAAATTTATCAAAAAAGAAAAAAATTAAGATACACGAGTCAGGTAAATTTTTTTAAATAAGTTACGGGACTCTTAAAGATCATGAGACTTTAAACTAACTAAATTGACTTCTCGCATTCTCGTATAAAAATATATTTCTCACTAAATATACCCCCCATGAATCCTCGGAAAAATACCAATACTTTTTCTCCGACAATTTCTGGTCTTTTTTCTTCCATACCACACTCATGGAAGCGTGCACATCCCTGAATTTTGACATTAACCTGGTATTAACAGGTATTGTATACAACATGATCATAGGAATATATATTTATGACTATTCAAGTATGCAATGATACCTGTTTTAAAATATTTTATCTGCACACAAAAGTGAACTATGTACACTGAATAAATATATATAAAAAATATATATATATATATATAAAAGGTGAGAAGAGACAACTAAATGTGATCTTTTGAAATATACTCTGCAAAAAAGTTTGTCGCAACTCACGAAGAAGATATGCATGCTAGCAACTTGCGGCATAGCTGTTGTAACTCAAGTGAAGGATCTGAAGAGGATATGGTTGAGAGTACAGACCTTGCTTCTAATAGTCCAACTGATATGTTTTCCAAAATCACATCTTCACTGGCCATAAGTGATGCTATTAGCTTCGCACCTGCCATCCTTTCCTGTTGAACATAAAAAATACATCAACATTATACCATATTTTCTCACACGTTAAGATAAATAATGTCATATGGCTACACTCCAAAGAAAGCCATACCGGCTTCCATATTTGTCCACTTTTTACCAAGCTGTCATCCATTGCCTTTCTCTCAACATTTTGATTTTAACCAATAGAAACTTATTTTCTCCAAGAAAAATTCTACAGTTTACCTTCTTATTAAATCAAAGAACTATTCTCTTTATTTTCCACTATGTTAACTATATATATATATATATATATATACATGTAGGAAAAATAGAAACTTCTGATTGATATCTAATCTAATGCAACTTTGCGTCTATCTAACAAGGATATTATTGAAATTATGGGGTTTTATATATATTAGTGAGGAAAAGAGAAAAATCTTACTAAATGACATGGCAATTAGTTTCATGCCACAATTTAGACACCCACCTCTAATATGGATAATAAATGGAACCCATGTTTAGATCTAGCAAGTAAACAACATATACAAGAGACGTGTAAAATTGTTCATTCTGATAACTTTACATATACAGTATTATTAATGTAAAACAGCAAAGGTAATTTACCTTGTCTGATTCCTTCCTCAGGGCCTTTAGAGCAATTCTAAGAAGGTCAGATGCATAAGGAAGAACTGCAGATCTTAGATGATAGACAGCTGAAAATAGGACCTGGGTGCATGCTGCCCTAATCTCTGACTTCGTTTCAAACTGTTGACCAAATATACTTAATTTCATAACCAAGCAAGAATAAAGTTTCAAGAATTAAAAGTCGTACTATATCAGGCAATCAAGATCTAAATATGTAACGGTACCTCAAGAGAATGAAGGAGTAACGGAATAACTTGTGCTGCAAAATGCTTCTTGCAAGATTCTGAAATCTTCTGGCAAGTGCTAATAAGAACATTGCCCATACACAGACGGAAAGAGAGAGGAAATGCAGCAGCAAATTCAGAGTTTTCATCCCCAAACTCAACAGTTGAAGTTCGTTCATTCTTGTCATTAAAGAACAGTTTGATCACATAGGCAACAATGGAATTCCCTGCAGTAGCAAACAGGTTTGAGATGAATTTGCATTCAACTACTCGGTAGCACCATGCTAATATTCCTGAAAACACATCAATAATACCTTTCTTCCCACCGGCCCTAGTTTTGTCTGGTATGGAATTGGTGATTGATTCCTTAGCTTGTAGTTCAGCACATATCATCAGTGCTAGACAATCAATACATCCATGTTGTGCTTTCGCAACTGAGAGAAAAAGTAATGCCCATCAAAATTAGTTGTACTTAATAAAAATTGAAAGAAACTTGCTGCATGTTTGCAATTACATTTTGTGCGTGCATTAAAAGATAAAAACCATGTCAAAACTAACAAAAGATGCAAAAGCTACAATTATTTTGGACCTGAATCATCGTTCAGACAAGGCCATAACAGCACTGCTTCAATCATCTTTCTAATTGCATACATCGAAGGATGAGAAAGTGACTCCCAGCCTCTGACCTATAAGAAGAAAAAAAAAGGCACATTACTGCAAGCCAAGTTGAAATAGATAATGCTGAAACTGAAATAGATGTCTAAAAAACAGAACCTGACAATCTAAATAATGATGGAGAAAATATTTACCACAAGGGATGTGCAGACTGAAAACAAACAGGCCTTTATCTTAAGTATATTCTTAGAGTCAACAGCCATCTCAAACATGGAGCAAAGATACGGGAAGAGAACCTAAAGAATCAGACAGCATATAAAGGTTAAAGTAATCCCTAAAAACTGCCAATAAGGTAATAACTAATAAGGTTGACTGTGGTGCTAGAGTATGACGTGATTCACAAAGGATTTCTGTCATGAAGAGAAACAAGGGTAATATAAGGATTTACACATTTTACAATGTAATAATAATCACAACCAAATATTTGAACTGACAGAATTAAAAACTCCATCAAAACAAAAATTTATACGAGGGTTGAGGAATTGCATCTAAAAGTTTTCAGTCATGTTGTAATGCTGTATACAAAACAATGTAAAAAGAATCTCTCAAACTGAAATGTAAACAAAACCAAGGTTATGCTTGTGGATGTCATCCACAAAAATTTTAAAAATTACTTGTGGATGAATGCGTCCACACAGCTCTGCAGAAAGCTTTCGAACATCTTCAAATTCAAACTCACTAAAAGCCCTGGAACAATAGAATGGCATGACATATGCATCAGGTTTCTGTACTGTTTAGTGGAAAGGGACAAAGGCTATGCTCTTTGAAGGACCAACCTGTTTAGAAGGAGAGCAGCGATACAATTATCACCAATCTCAGTGTCCCCACCTCCTGCATCTACCTCGCAAGAGAAAAAAAATATATACATCACTTGTAATGACCAGAAGAAAAACATGATTTATTAAACAGAAAAAGACACAACCACTAGTCTGATAGACGTACAGTAGTTTATGCACCATACTCAAGGACATGAGATTATAGATAGGATTGAAATCCAGAGTCGTGAATTTATATAAATAAAAACCTTACATAGAAATGCTAATGTATCATGATTTCTTCTGTCAACCTTTTTATTTTCTTCTCCATGAAACAACAGTTACTACTATAGTTTCAAGCACTTCAAACATATGCATTTATGATTTATCAACAATTGAACATTGAGAAGAAAAAAAAAGAGAACTTGAAAATTTAAAAGTGGCTATGCTGCCTCTGTCCAAATACATTTCTTGCAACTACAAGTCTACAAGTGTAGGACCAGCTGGGGACATACTTAACAAATCAGCAGAACATCCATAAAATGAAAAAATAGATTCAATGATTAATATTTTTAAATGTAAGACTAAACTACTACAAGATTTTATTATATAAATGAATAGTTGGTAACTTTTCTATCCAATTTTGTGAAATATTAAAAAAAAATAGTAATTTCAACTCAGTATGCTCAGCAAGAAAACTTCAGCTGTCCCAAATTCATGAGCATATAAAAACAGGAAGACCTCAATTCCATACCCCTTAATTTGCACATCAGAAGATTAGAACAGTTAACAGTCTTTAATACCAGGTAAAACTGACAGAATAACTATTGACAAAAACACAAATAATGAACTAAAAGCAAAGGTTTAAAAAAAGAAGATATGCACGAGGAAAGAAACAGACTAATTAAATCTTTAACATGCAAACAATATAGCCATCAAGACAGGCAGATACACAAGGCAGGAATATATACCCTGGATTACATATTGTATGAGATGTCCATACATAATTGATGAATCGAGGTCATTGAAAGTTTTCAAGGGAAGAATCTTAATTATAAGCAAAGGGCATAGATGCTCAAACAGAGATCGCTGCATTTCTTCATATTCATCACTGGTGTAGGTTCTTTGCTCCCATCTTGATACAAAACTTTCACCAATCCTGCTATGGAATAGAAAATATATCAGGAAAAAAACTACCACCAATACATCAAGTCCAGTCATGGAAAGAGACTTCTGTAGACTAAACCAATAAACAATTGATACATTAGACAAATATACAGACACACTCACTGTGATGACAGAATATATGGACAGAGATTTTAATATTGTAATAATCCAAATGAAAATGTTGTATGGTTGTGAGTGAGATCAATATCCTATTTGACCCCAAAAAAAAAAGTTTATCCACTGGAAATTTTGCAAATGGCCATCATAAATATCATGTAACCACTACACTATTATCATAATAAATAGAAGCAGAGACAAAACTCTCTTTGATTGGCCAATAATGCAGATATAATTACAGTTAAAGCTCTTGAGCGCACAATTACAGATAACATTTGATCTTTAAAAAAAAATAATACTACAGATACTCACTGCTTCTGCTCCTTAACATGTAATAGAACATGATGCAATACAAGATCAGCAACATTTGCCAGGTTCTCACTTATATAACTCAGAAATTTGACATTAGTTGCATTTGATGGATCTGCAAACATCTTATCAACCAGTGGTCCAATTAAGAAGTTCCAGTCTTGAACCTGTTAATATTGGAATTAACAAATTAGAATACCTTTCCAATATAAATTCCTGTATCTGAAGGTACATTTATTGGAGCGATTTTATAATTGATTGCCATAATTGATTTACAGAGAACCAACAGAATATATACAAAATGTAAATGTACATGGTCAAGCCACATGTGAAATATTTAGGGGAATAACAGAATATCAAACAAAAATGAGTGGAACCTCAACTGTTCAAGAATTGAGTTTTGTTAGAGAAACAAAGAAACCATTTTGTGCCTGTACCCAACAGCTTAAGCTTCAGCATGATTTGGTTCTTAACATGGGTATGAGAAACTTCTACTACGGTTAATTGTAGCCTCCCAAATCTTCATAATCGAATTAACCTTTAACTAGGTCAGGAGGGGTAGTGCTATGTCGTTGTCCATGCTTTGAGCGCAAAGGAATTTCATGCGAGGGAGCAGACTAAGATCAGTCTAAGGTGTACACCTAAGTAACAGATCATACTTTTGGGATTATTTGGTTCTAGACAGATTAAAGGAATCTAGTAACACAAAATTGCTTTAGCAATTAGCAGTCTTAAAATGTTGAAATAATCTATTTGTATTCATCACTACTATGAAGTCTAAGAAGTCAAAAATTTCCATTAACTAACTCAACTGGTTTACTTTTCTACCTACTAATATATATATATGTCATATTTCTTGATCAGATTCCCACAATGAAAAAAAAAGGGAGAAAAGACAAAAAAACGTGGCTATAACTGTTGATTTGTAAGTACAGTTATGAAGTGACTAGTGAGCTAAGTACACTAAAGGGTACAGTACATAGTTATAGCTGCTGATTGGAAAATCAAATGGTTGTAAATTGTAATTGTGATAGAAAACAGGCACATGTATAACAAATTACGTAGTAAAATCTCAATGTTTGATTTTCCAATCAACGGTTATAATTCCATAAATTTCTCTGAATTTAAGTGCATCTCTCACTTTTAATTAGCCAAATTCCACAGAGCCATATTCATAGTTGCACAGTCTATCTTACACTTTTAGACCACACTGGAACCAGTTTGAGCACCCGGTCAGCATCCAACTTTGAGCCTGACACCAAATTAAAAAGCATGAGAACATAATGATAATGGATGCAGTATTTTTTAACAAATAAGAATATAAAATTGAAGTGTATAACTGAGAAACTGATTACAAATACATTAATAGTTGTAAACAAGGAATAGAATAAGAAAATATCCCAATTTCAAGTGCACTTGCAGCCCTAAAAAACTGCTTAAAAATGGTAAGGAATTTTACAAAAATGATCTACAAATCAATGGCATCCAACTAACAGGAGATTTTCATGAGCAATGCATTCTTCAGAAGTTAATAAAGGTAAAAATCTAATCTAAAATTACACAGGTGTCAGTAAATGCTAACTAACCTACCTTTTATAAATAGTGATATAGAAAATAGAACTAGGGAAGCAATGAAATGCATAGTCTGTCAAATTGTGATGATGTAAGTGGAGGGGAAAAAACTACCTTCATCTCCAGTAGACTGTGGATGGTCTAGGCTTTTACTGGTGTTGCTACAGGGATAAGGAGGCAAAACTTTTAGTCAAGCAGCGATATCTTCATACATCAAAAAAATCTGAGTTTCTGAACTCCAGCTCTAGAAACAGTTTTTATAAGTTCAAAACTGAACTTTAAAGGCCCAGTAGAAAGAGGAAAGAAAAGGAAACATACCTAACACAGTCAAGAAGCAACAATATGATTTCAATTCTCTGGTTGTGACGCGTGAGGACCCCAATGATGGCATCACTAGCAGATGATTGGCTCTCATCTGGAGAGTAGACAAGATCAACCAGTGCAGGCAAGTACAATGAAGGGTCTGCGAAAGTAGCAATGAAAACGTGTCACAAGCATTTGCATATGCTAGTCAAAATATTCTTTTGACAGATATTTACTGGATCACCATAATGTAGTATGGAATTGATGTGAAAACAGTCAAACATTAATGCTTAAATAGATATATGTAAGAGGAGCACAACAAAATAATGACAGTTAATGAATCATTTGAAGGAGGAAATAAAGGGGGAGAGAAGTAAAAGGGAAATGCAAAGAAGCAATCAACCTAAAAGCTTAAGCTATTAGGTGCAAGCTTAGAAATTGCTTTTATTCCCATCCCAAATACAACTCCTCACATGAAAACTCTTTAAGATTTGATGTGTGAAAATAGCATGAGCCCACCAATAGCTTCTTCAGATCAAATTTTAAAAAAGAGATGTGAAGCTCAAACACAAAATTATTTGGAAAAAAGAGGATCCAACATCATGTCCAGAAACAATCATCCCTAACCCTCCAGCCAAGGCAAGTAATAGGACCCAATAACACTTGCCAAGTAACATAACTGATAAGAAATATATAACAAATTACACCCAATATTTCAATTTTAATGCTAACCTATCATTGGAAGTAATTTGGATGCCTGCTCACGGATCATAATTTCTTCATCTCCAAGCCGCTCTAGCAATTTGTCAGCTATATCTTGCCTAAAACTCACATCTCAACAAATAAATATACAAACAACTAAAAATACAGTATAACAACATAAGCAATCATACCTAGAAGAATAAGGCATTAAATTCTGTGACTTAGATGATATGTGTAGGACTTCTGTTATAACATCCATGGCATTTCTTCTCTGTGAAATGTTTCCAGAATCAAGTAGCTTTAGAATTTCCATAAGGCACTGATCATCTTTGCTCCTGGAGGATCACCACACATATCAGTTATAAATTAAAAAATAAATAAATAAATAAGACTTAAAAAGTGTTCCTGCTTAATATCATAAGAAAAAGAATAAACTGATTACATTGAGCAGTATTCTGCTATCAGCATAACAACAGCTCCAGCTGTACCATCCCGTTCATCTAGAAGTTGAAGCAGAAAAGGCATCACAATATTTGCCTGCCTACTGTCAGTAAGTGTATCTTCTTGTGAGTAATCTGGCCTCAGAATGACAGCCTTGAATATTGAAACAACCCCAACTATCACATCTTCATCGGTGCAATTAAGCTACAGAAAAAGAGAGAAGAGTAAAAGCTAAGTTGTCACTCTGACTCTGACAAGAAAATATAGCCAAATTAATAAATCACAGCTTGATAAGTAACTAACTTCTAAATACATCATAACTAGGGGGAGAAAAAACTAGATACTACCAGATCATAATCTATAGTTCTATATCAATATGCAGCATAAGCCCAATTACTCATAACAGATGGCAATATATGTATCATCCATGAAGTAAAACTAGAAGTCCTGAAGTCCTTCTAAACCTAGAAAGGCTCCTGAGAAGTAGGAATAATTTCAAGACACCATAAGAAATTAAAATAATTAGTTTTTTCTTTTTCTCTAAATAAAATTACAGCATAGAAAACATGACAAAACAAGTTCTCCACATAATCTTATGTTTAGTTTGTTGGAATAGGAATGATGAGAATCGACTAAAGGTGTAATTAGTAGCTATATGAATTTCAAAGAAATTTTCATTCCATTCCATCAATGATAAATTCAATTTACAAGTATACCCTTAGTCTTCCATCTCAAATGACAAAATCCATATCTCCAACCCATAGTATGTCTACCAACATTATCTCCAACATTTTCTTTAAAATTATTCCAACAATTTAGCAAGACATAAAAACTAAAAGAAGCTGAAAAGCAGGATTATCAAGCCAGAGTTTATCAACTATGTGAACATAAAATTGTTGAATGCCAGGTAGTTTTGGAGTTTGTGAAATTCAGAAATAGTACTCTTTGACAGTGCATCATAGGTAAACCAACAATGCTAATTATCATAGTTGTCAATTTCGAGTGTCAACTCGTAATAATTACCGAGTTTATGATATTGGTCAACCCCACCCATACAACTCAAAAGCAAACTCGTTTTTGAGCAATCTAAAACAATCTCGTCCAATCTCGAGTAATCTCACCCAATCTGTTGCTAAAAGCAAAAATTATTCTTGGTTTTTTATTTGTCATTTAAAGAACTTGTGTCTTGTGTGAAATTCTGCATGATTTGCTACTAAACATTACTGCTTAAATATTATAATTTACTATTTTACTTTAATATGGAGTTGAAATGTTGAGTTATTATGTTATTTATAAGTATTATAACATTTTTTATATTAAGTAAACTCTCACGAGTTTACGATTCAAGCTTACGAAATCTCAATGAGATTTCGTAAACTCTTGAGATTGACAACCTTGCTAATTATATTACGGAATGCTTTGAACAAATTCAGTTTCTATTGAAAGTTACACTGCTCAAAATTAAAGCATTGATCTTTCCATCAAATGCTAAGGGTATTATTACTGCATTCAAGGCACCGATAACACCATGCCATACAAGGTCAGAAGTGAGAACAGACTAGCAAAAATAGTAATAAATTATATCCTATCTCTAAGTTTCCAATGATAAAATTGAGAGCTAAACCTGATCCATGGCAAAGTGTACGCAAGATTTTAAAGGAGGATAAATATAAAACATTCATTTGCAGGTTATGCAATGGTTTTGTTTTAAGACCTCAGGCAAAGGTACCTGTGGTAATAGAATGCGTGAGATTTTCATGCCAAATTCCGACACCGTGCTTTCAAATCTCTTGCTGTCTAGACGTCCCAGCAGTAGGCATAAACAATTCAAAAAAAACTTTCTTGTCTCCAACCCACCATCATTGTTGTCAGTATAGCCACTACCAGTGTGGTTGTCCATATAATACTGCAATTATCATGGATATCAGCTACTAAAAAATTCCATCACACACAATCACATGAAGCCACAAAGAATTGAGTTATCAAGTCATCATATCAAATAATATTATCACCTACTGACCTATTTCTGATCCACTTGAAACTAATGTAGCTCTAGCCAGTACCAGTCATCAATTCACCATATAAAATGCTCAAATCTAAGGAAAACACACATGACACCACAAATTTGGTGATGTCAAATGCACAGTATTTCTTTTTTAATCAGCATATGTCTTCAACACATAGCTTATAATAAATAGTATATGATCAGTGAGTATATTTTACATATGCAGCAAATATATTAAAGCCTAAACTGCTAAATAATATAATGTTAAGTCAGCATATGTTTTTCTCTGCAGACAAGGTCAACAAGTCAGGGATAATCTATTTCCCATGGAAAACATCAAACAGTGAAACCGTGCCATGTGGAATAAATTAGAACATAAGATTATTGCTCAAATTATTTGAAGACTTCATTATGCAAATATCTACTGCATATATTACCTGAATGCCAGACAAATACTGTTCCAACAGTTCCTTGTAATGCTGAGAAAACTTTTTGTCTTCCAGGTGTAGTAGCATGCTATAATGCTTCCAGCAAGAAGAGAGCAGTAAATCCCCAGTCTTGAGAGCATTAGAATCTGTCTTCAATGTGGCATACATAAAGAAAAATTATGGTTCATAGAAGACAAGTATGTGAAGGAATTATATAACAAGAAGCCATATAAAAATGCATTGATTCCAGAACCTGCCTGATGTTGAAAGGACCCATAGTGATCCTTTATTTCCTCCAGCCATTTAAGAACTTGCTCCAAGCCTTTGGCATGTAAAAAACGACTTTTCTTGCTCCACTGCAATGTAGAGTTGAATATTAAACAACTGAACAAGTTCAGCAAAGTTCAACAGAAAGCAAAAGCAATAGGAAGAAATTACTGTCTGAACCATGTTTTTTATATTCTTGTCTTATACATAATTTCATGTTAGTAATTCTATATGCCATTTTGGAATTCAGTTTCAAGTTTAAGGCTGATAATACTTTTCTGCCGAAACAGATGAGTTCCCATCACAAAATCTGGGTAATTTTAAATTAGTCACCCTTCTGACAAGGATTGTGGAAAAAGAGCTCAGTAGCTCCTATTTTTCAGTCCATTTATTCAGCATGCATATCTATTTGATGCCAACGATACAAGAAAACGCCATGTTAATAATCATGACCCTAAAATCAGAGCAAGCTTTTGTTACCAAATTCAAGATGACAGACAATGTTCCCACAGCTGACCTTCTATAAGTCTTCTTTATACTGTGTAGTTAAATAATGTCATCACTTTCAAATGTTTGCTTATTTAATATGATTTTGCCATTTGGATATCATAGTTGCTTAACATGAATAAAATGACACAGTCTAAAACATAGATCATAGATGGTTCAAACAAGAATTAAAGACTGTATAACTTACAGAAAGGAGTCTTTGCAACAAATAAATAATGTCATCTAAATGATGCCAGAGAGTATAGTCGTCCCCTTCAACCTTTGACATCAAAAAATTAGAATCCCGTTTCACCTTCTTGTCAATAGTAGGAGACTGTACAAAAGTAATTGCCTGATCTTTCGCTCTTGTATTTAATTTCAACTTCTTATTTTGAAGATCAGCCACTTTTGCTAATGCTCCAGAGAGAGACAAAAAACAATCAGCAGCGGACACTCCAAGGCGAGATGGCAACTCGAAACCATCCTGCAAAGTGCTGAAGAGCCAGTGATCAGATAAATATAATCAATGGAATACCCAGTGAATTAACAAAAGAAAATTAAAGAGATGCTATCCATAAAAACAGAAAATGGAAGACATATATAGCTGACAACTTGACATTATTGGAGGGAAAAAATGGGTAGCATGCTACAACAAGAAACATTAAACAGTATATTTATAAAGAAGAACAGTTGTGTACAATTGAGATTATCATAGAACACATTAATAATCAGTCAAATGCTTTTAGCCAACAAAACGTTATCTCCTGACAGTATCAGGCCACGTGTCAATAAAGAGATAGGGAAGAAGGAGGAACAATTTTGACAAATGCTCCAATATGTGATACAAGACATACATGAGTACACAATATATAATATATAATATATAACATAAAATAAAGGTTTAATTATCCTTTTGATCCTTATAATTTCATAAATTTTACTTTTTAGTCCATGTAGTTAAAAACATTCTACTTTAGTTCTTCTACATATTCTTTTTTCTCTTTTAGTCCCTCTAGTCTATTTTTATAGAAAATAAAAAGTAAAATTTATGAAATTATAGAAACTAAAATGAAACAAAAATAGTAATGTATAGGGACTAAAAGGCAAAGTTCATTGATCAGTAAGGACCAATAGGGTAATTTAAACCTAAATTAAAAGACAAATATCTTGATAGATATACAAGTATAATGAACATTAGCAAAACCTACCACTAAACAACCTGAACCTCCATTTACATTACTCTTTGAAAAAAGAAAGAGATTCATGAGAAATGACGATACCTTCCTTTACTGACAATGGCAGCCAAATCCGGAAGGCAGGTGGAGAGTATCCTCAACAAATCGCGATACCTCTCCCTTATTCCTAGCAAACACAAGTCAATTACACCAGTTCATTTTTCAATGAGGTTTCCTATTTTCTAAACTAGTTCTCCGTGAATACACGATGAGAGTTGAAATTGAAACAGCGGGAGCAATAATCGGAAACTCACCAGCAAGCATGGACTGATGAACGGAACTCTCGTACTCGACTAGATTCCGAAGAAGGAGACACCAACCAAGCAACAAGTAGCGGTCGTGCTTTCTGGCGACGACGCCTGCAAGAGCCTCGGCAACGGGTTGGAAAAGAAGCGCGTCCTGGAATAGCCAGTTCAGCAGAACCATAGCTTGGTCACCGTGCTTGGACTTCAACGCCTGTCAAACGAGAAACGCAGAGCACAGCGTCACGAAAAGAGAACAGAATTCATAACAAGAGGAAAAATAATAGGAGAAATTGATTACGTTGTCGATGATTGGAAGAAGGACTTGGTCGAGCGAAGAGTTGTTGGTTGCAGCGTCGGTTACGTAGCTGTGGAAGAACCAGAGCGAGTCTTCGAGCGAGACCACGTGTGAAGAGTGTGAGTGTGCGGAGAGACGAGAAATAGAGTCGTGAAGCTTCTTGACGCGGGAAGTGAGAAGTGTAGTCATGACACGTGCGAGCGTGACGGAGACGATGGATTCGCGTTGGGGCTCCGATTTCCATAGCAACTCTTCTGCTGCTTCTCCCTCCATTCTTCTTTTCCTCTTCAACGAACTCTCCACTCCTTACTCCTTACTCCTTAGAAGACGTGGCTTTGGGCCGACGGGCTTTATATTTTGGATCTCACTAAAAAAGGCCGAAGCCCAACAGAAAAGTTTTAGAGGTGACGCGGCGAGCAAAACGGCAGCGTGTAGGTTGGCACCTTCAAATGGTGGAACTAGAGAGCGACTACAGAGAGATTTGCAAGGTGGTACTGTGCTTAACCCAATCACGGTCCCTTGCGAAGGGTGTCCAACTCCATGGCCACGTCATCAAATCAGGGTTGGAAAGCGTTCCACTGGTGTGCCACCACCTGATCAACTTCTACTCCAAGTGCAACCTCCAACACTCTTCCCACAAACTCTTCGAAGATTTCCCTCACAAATCCGCGACCACGTGGAGCTCCCTCATCTCCTCCTTCGCGCAGAACGACCTCCCCCTCCCCGCCCTCCGCTTCTTCCGCCGCATGCTCCGCCACGCCCTCCGCCCCGACGACCATACGCTCCCCACCGCCGCGAAGTCCGTCGCCGCCCTCTCCTCCCTCCCCCTGGCCCACTCCCTCCACGGCCTCGCGCTCAAAACCGCCCACCGCCCCGACGTCTTCGTCGGAAGCTCCCTGGTCGACATGTACGCCAAATGCGGCGACATAAACTCGGCGCGCAAGGTGTTCGACGAAATGCCTCACAGAAACGTCGTCTCCTGGAGCGGCATGATATACGGGTACTCCCAAATGGGGCTCCACGAGGAGGCCCTCACCCTCTTCAAGCACGCTTTGAATGAAAACGTGGGTGTTAATGATTTCACGTTGTCTAGTGTGTTGAGGGTTTGTAGTGCCTCCACGTTGTTCGAGTTGGGGAAGCAAGTGCATGGATTGAGCTTTAAGACGAGTTTTGACTCGTCCTGCTTTGTGGCTAGTTCGTTAATCTCGTTGTACTCTAAGTGCGGCGTTGTGGAAGGGGGGTACCGTGTTTTTGAGGAGGTTCGTGTTAGGAACCTCGGCATGTGGAACGCGATGTTGATCGCGTGTGCTCAGCACGCGCACACGTGGAGAACGTTTGAGCTTTTTGAAGAAATGAGCGTTGGGGGGAATGTGAAACCTAATTTCATCACGTTTTTGTGTCTGCTTTATGCATGCAGCCATGCAGGGTTGGTGGAGAGGGGGTGGCGTTATTTCGCGTTGATGCAGGAGCTTGGTATTGAACCTGGTTCGCAGCATTATGCTACGTTGGTGGATTTGCTTGGTCGTGCTGGGAAGTTGGAGGAAGCGGTAAAGGTGGTTGAGGAAATGCCTGTGGAGCCCACGGAATCTGTTTGGGGGGCTTTGTTGACGGGGTGTAGGATTCATGGGAACGCTGAATTGGCGTCGTTTGTGGCTGACAAGGTTTCTGAGATGGGTGCTGTGAGTTCTGGGATTCAGGTTTTGCTCTCGAATGCTTATGCTGCTGCGGGGAGATGGGAGGAAGCGGCGAGAGCGAGGAAGAGGATGAGGGATGAGGGGATAAAGAAGGAAACTGGGCTGAGTTGGGTGGAGGAAGGGAATAGGGTTCATACGTTTGCTGCTGGAGATAGGTCTCATGGGAAGACTTTGGAGATTTATGAGAAGTTGGAGGAGTTGGGTGAGGAAATGGCGAAAGCTGGGTATGTTGCAGATACATCTTTTGTGTTGAAAGAAGTGGATGGGGATGAGAAGAGTATGAGTATAAGGTATCATAGCGAAAGGTTAGCCATTGCGTTTGGCCTTATTACTTTCCCTCCGGAAAGGCCCATCAGAGTAATGAAGAACTTGAGGGTTTGTGGTGATTGCCACACTGCCATCAAGTTTATTAGCAAGTGTACCGGAAGGGTGATCATTGTGAGGGACAATAATCGGTTCCACCGATTTGAAGATGGGAAATGCACTTGTGGGGATTATTGGTGATGTTAAGGTGCTGCGTGACATGCGAGGGTCACTGAAAACAACATATACTACAAAATCATTCATGAACCATCTTATTTTTGGCTACCTCACCACGTATAAAATCGTGGTAATTTTGACACTTTTTGCCCTTTATTTATTTTTTGCTGTTGTTGCTAACATGATCCGAGGAAACAAGAGAAACCTATAGTACTGTACTGTACTCAACAAAGAACTCCAAAAGCAATTTGAATCCCCCTGCTGGTTACTGAGCTAGTTCACACATTAGTGCTTTTGTTTCTGTTGTGTTGAGAGCCAGACCAGAAGAGCAGATGTTAATATGAGGAGCAGAGGTTCCAAGTAAAGCATTATACCATTATTATTTCATTTATAAAACCAAGGGTGTTATATGCCAACCTAATTTGCATTTTAGTTGGTATCTGAGGTATACAGCAACAGCATTCAAATATAAACACACAGAAGCTGATGGAGAGATGAATATACGAACTAGCATAGTTCTGATAGCTTCTGATTATTCTATTCAATTTACTCCTCGTATTTCCAACAAATTTTGATTGAGGTTGAGATATTAGCGATATGCGTTGAAAATGTTAATCATTTTTATTTTAGCGAGACAATCTAAATAAATATATATTTTGTAAACACTATTAGTTGGTTCATCAATTCAGAGGCTTTGCAAAACCCTCTTGTCCTCATTGTTCATCCACTCCAACAAATGGTGTCACGTTTTCCCTTGGAAGGAACCGACCAATAGCATGCATTGAGTTGACTGAAGGATAAATGGATGCCCCCGCTCAGCTAATTGTTGTTCCTGAGTCCATTTATCAGCCATCATGAGCATGCATTGTGCTTTGCAGCGATGCTGATGGATGTATCATTCATCACATTAGTCTCTATCGTCACGTAATTTGAAGGGGTTAGGTGGGGAGGTGTTTGGTAAAGAAGCAGGTGGTGGGTTTGCGATTCTGGTCTCTGGGCCATAGAATCCAAACAGATTGGCAAGTGGTAACAGTTAAGACAACACGTATGCAGAGAAGGACAACGAGAACGATTAACCGCGTGTTTGGTCATACGTGATTTTTCACTTCTGAAGCGAAGCTACCAGTGCAGATATGTTTGGACGTGATTTTGTGAACATATTGCCAAACAGGCCATAAGGGCATATCTGTATGGACTCTAATTGACCATGGACATGGAAATTATAACTTGTATGCTGGGTTTGAAGAGATTTTAAAAAAAGAAAACTAGAGAAAAAAAAATTATTATTTAAACCCTAAAGCCTAAATTAGAGAAAAAGAGATTTTAATAATTAATTTCTATATTTATTGAACTATTATACCTTTTATTTTATAAGAAAAAAAGTTAAGATATTAAGAATTTATTTTAATAACTATCATTTTTCTTTAATAATTACTCATTTTATTATTTTTATTTTTTATTTTTAAATAAATATTGAGAGACATGGAAATGCCTCTTTTTCTCCTAGTAAAGATAAATTCTTTAAATTTATTCCATTTCATTTTCTGACATCGTTTTCTTCCCTAGAAAAATTCATTCTTTATTATTTTTTCCAAGAGGACTTTATTATGTGAATCCTATTAAAAAAATTTAAGAGGAGAATCTTCTATCTTCCGTATAAAAAATATATTTTTTATCAAAGAATTTTCTTTTATAAACTTTATTGTGGGCCAATTTTCCGGATTTGTTTTTTTAATTAATGTAAGACGAATGATATTTATACTTCTCCTTGTTATCAATAAATATACCTAGCTTTTTTCTCCTTTTTGTTCATTGAATTTTCCTAAACACTTTTTTAAAAAAAATTACTCATTAGAATTATTATAACAACACTAGATTTGAAGCTAAAATTTTGTTTATATTATCTTAACTTTCTACCACCAGGTGAATCTTACTGATTATAAACATCCTTCTAGTTTATTTCTTTTTTCAAAATAATTCTCTACCAAACTTCTTTTGGAAAATGTTTTTCAGATTACCCCTCTCTTCTTCCACCGTTCTCTCTTTCTTGCATTTCCTTGGTTTCTCTCTCATCCAACCGTGAAGAACCTTACATAGTTTTTTTTTTTTACACAAAACTTCCATAGTTTAGTACCAAACCAACCACCATATTAGAACAAACATATAAGATTCTAGAAACTAATCTTTAAAATTATATTTTAACAAAAATAATAAGAACTTGAAAGAGTATATATTGGAAACGCAACAACCAGATGTTGAGATAATAAGGACAATATTTTCATGTCGAGAGGACTAATCATCAGAGGTTAAACACTTCTATTATATACGAGTTTTTAAATAAATTCCAAAGAATCACATCACATATTAATAAAAATTACTTTCACACATTAGCTTGTGTCTTGCATTCGATGTAGAGAAAGAGATGATGAAAATAAATTATTAGTTTTTAGAAAAAAGGTTAAATTATTTTTTTTTTCTTTATTTTATTTGTTAGATTTATTTTGATTATTTATTTTTTAAAATGTTCATTTTTTATCATTTATTTTTTTAATTTATACTAACTTAATTCTTTTGAAACAATTATTTTCAATTTTGATACATGATTTTTAAAAATATATATATTTATTCAAAACTTAAGCTTGTCTTATTATATTTCTTTATATGAAAATTATTGAACACAATCAAAATTTAAATAAAATAAATGTTACAAACACGATGAACATTGCATAAAAATAAGTCTAAAAGGCAATTAAAAAAAATTTAAATATAATTTCATAATATTTTATAGTTGCTTATGAAACATATTTTTCACGTAATTTTTACTATGTTATAGCCCTTCTAAATTCAAACATTGCGTGATTCAAAATTGTGTCATAAAATTAAAATTTATTATTATTTTAAAAGAGTCAAATTGATACAAATATAAAAATGATTAAAGATCAAAATGAATATTTTAATTATAACAACTCGTCATAGTTCCTACACTGACAGCACAACTACTCAAACAAATATCTACTAAAAATCTCAAAAGTGTAAGTTTACTATTATCAAGTCATATAGTGTATACCATACATGTGAAACAACTTTACATAAATATATCATATAAATACAGTGATCTAACAAGCTAAAATGTACACCTATAGCTACCTAACAAGCTTCTACTCATAGCATTATACCGTTGTAGTACAAAAATATATCCAACTCCACCATCCTCCTAACGGCCACCTCAACAGCAACATCACATATCTATCATTGTTCTACTCACATACAACGTATAATCATTACAGTCCAAGTCACATGGAAACATGCAAGAATAAGTTAGAGTAAAAAAGAAACAATACATATTTAATGCACAATATCAACAACGCTAGTTACATATTCACATCACTATCTCATCCACAATACCAACAATGCAAGACATCATAATACAGAACACATACCCGCATAACAACTCAATTTACAACAACGTAATATCAATTCAACATCACCACAGTCTCAACACGGCTAATCATCACAACAACACAATATTTTCAACATAGGAACAACATGCATCATTACACATTTCAACTAAGGAGATCTCCTACAACTAAGGTGAGTAGTTTAAGTGGTTTGTCCCTACCGAATCATAACTTTAGACCTATCTCAATCAAGTCAAGTATAGTACAACATTAAGCCTCATAAGAGAGGCAGGTACAGACAACTTAGTTTGATTTCTCAAGCTTTGTCACTTAAACAATAAACTATGGTACTATATCATGATAAAACAGTTTAGGCACAGGTTTACCACAGCATTAGCTAGCTTAATTAAGCCACTTATAGTATTAGCCTACTAGTTAGCCTCCAATACTAGGCTAGGGAAGCAACTTTTTAAAATAACTTAATTCACCTCTAATATTTATGTATCTCAACTTAGACATGTATCTCAACCACATGTCCACAACTTTACCACTTTATATAGCATGCAACCTTACTCATTTGGCCACTTATAATTAATATAGCTCAACCTTTCCCCTACACTATGGTCATTTTATACATGTATGTCTCGACCTTACCCACATATGGATACCACATAAAACCTAGAGGAGACAACTGAAAATAACATACTCATTTAGAAGTCAACTTACTTATTGAAGGGTTCAATACAACGTATATATGCACAATGGGATATTAAACTTCAAAAACATCTTTAAATTTCCTCTAGTTTCAATATATTTAAACATAGACATGTATCACAACCACATGCCTAGCAACTGAATAGCTTAATAACTTATCATCGTACATTATTACAACTTAAACATCATTCATCTTACGTCTTAACCATACAACACATAACAATATATAAACTTACTTCTTTAACACGTAATCATCTTTCAACATATATATCAACTCTCAACTTAACAATAATAATAAATACAACATTTTTTTCATAGTAATTTTACAGCTTTCAACTTTAACAACTATTAGCATCCATCTTACAACATCTTACAAAACTATAAAACAGCTTAAAACATCAAAGCAGTATAACAACTTAACATCAAAGTAGCTTTACTACTTTAAGCATACATCAACGAAAGCAACATATTAAATATCAACTAAAAACAGTCAAACGAATTAACAACTAAATAATTTAAAGAACAACTTCCAATGATTAGTACAACGTACAACATGTGTAACGATCTCAATATAACAACTTCAATCACAAGGTAAACAACATTAAACACTCATACATCATCATCCATATCAACAATTCATCATATAGTAACTTAGGACATCATATATTACCATATGTTATAAAGAAATTAATACATCATTTTTAACATGTAATCATCAATTAGCATACAACGACAACTTTCACATAACACAACATAATTGGAGTTCCGCTAATCCAATCAAACTCATTATTATCTCACATGAAGGATAAAAAGATTATCTATAACTCTCTTGAAGACCTCAGGTTCTAATTCCATCATCTACATGTTTAAAATCATAAAAATCGCACCAGTTTGCCTAAATGCTAACAACTTGACATTTACTCACTAAAAAAGTCATAGATGGAGTTCTAGACCTCCTTTTTAGTTGATTCCAAAGCCATTCAAAATCTAACATCTAGGGCGACAAATTTTATGAAGACAACAAAGTCTAATTTGGAAGCACCAAACCACTTAGCCATTTCAAAATTGCTAAGCAAATTCCTTTAAGAAATACACATGATTCTAATATGCAAATCCAATCTCAATTCTAAACTAAAAACTCATCTAAACAACCAGAATGCATCAATTTCCAACAACAAAACAACTCATAACAAGAATTTGGCTGCAATCAAGGTTTTTCCCCCAAAACCACAAAATCTCTAAGAAACTAAGAACACCAAGTCTTCTTGCAAATTAGTTCAACATTCAAACAATTATACATCAATGGGCATTCATACCACACATGCAACATGATAATCCACACAATCATCCACCAAGATTAAGTTATAGCTTCCCTTACCTCTTAAGAGAAACAAAATCAACTGAAAGGGAAAGAGGAAAGAAGGAGCTCGCACGAAACCGAGTTT